CCTGCCCAGATGCAACACCCTACACTTTCCCATTTTACTCCAAAATAAAATCTTGGGTCCAAATTGTAGTTGTTTTTAAGATGGGATTTATAAAATCTAATACCGGTAAAGTATTCATCACGCTTGGTGCTATGAGAAGGGGTGAAATACTGAAATTTCTGGTTCTACTAAAATAAGTAGAACCAGAAAATTAACATGACCCATCTAGTAGCAATGGGAGATAAACAGAAGTTTTATATACCAGCAAACTGTGTAAAAGTTCAGATTTGCATTCAGTTACTGTAATATATGGAGCACCGTCCCTTACTTGCCATCATGCCTTTATACCTTAAGCAAGGTGCATAATGTGACCCGGAGAGGAAGCAGAGCGCCTTGGTGATGTGTAATAACTTGATTTTTTTCCCCAGATAAGTTTTAAACCTTTCTTAAAATTGAAAACAAGTATTATTTACTATCTTAACTACTTGCAGTCACTGCAGTTATTGAGAAGCTGAACATGAGCTGGCAATGTGCACTTGCAGCCCAGAGGCCAATAACCGTATCCTGGGCTGCATCAAGAGAAGCGTGGCCAGCAGGTCGAGGGAGGGGATTCTCCCCCTCTACTCCGCTCTTGTGAGACCCCACCTGGAATACTGCGTCCAGTTCTGGAGCTCCCATCACAAGAGAGACCTGGAGCAGCTAGAACAAATCCAGAGGAAGCCACAAGGATGATCTGAGGGCTGGAGCACCTCTCCTATGAGGACAGGCTGAAAGAGTTGGGGCTGTTCAGCCTGGAGAAGAGAAGGCTCCGGGGAGATCTTATAGCGGCCTCCCAGTACCTGAAGGGGCTACAAGAAAGCTGGGGAGGGACTTTTCATAAGGGCAGTTAATGACAAAACAAGGGGAAATGGGTTTAAGCTGAAAGAGGGGAGTTTTAGATGAGATATTAGGAAGAAGTTCTTCACTGTGAGGGTGGTCAGACACTGGAACAGGTTGCCTAGAGAAGCTGTGGATGCTCCTCCCTGGAAGTGTTTAAGGCCAGTCTGGATGAGGCTTTGAGCAACCTGGTCTAGTGGAAGGTGTCCCTGCTGATGGCAGGGGGATTGGAACTAGATGATCTTCAGGGTCCCTTCCAACCCAAACCATTCCATGATTCTATGATTCTATGATAATTATTGCCTTAATAATAATAATAATTATTATTATTATTATTAAGGCTGTTAGTATGAGGAATACCCATTTACACTTGTTTCACCTGGGTCGTGCTGCTGGACTCTTCAGCTCGAGCGCTGCGACTTGTCAGGATTTTCAGTGTTTTCTGGAGCACACTTTCTCTCTCTGCTCGGCAGGAAAGCTGTAGTTGGAGGCATGTCTGCGGGTGCCATCGGACAGTTTTTCGCCAGCCCGACTGATCTGGTGAAGGTGCAGATGCAGATGGAAGGAAGAAGGAAGTTGGAAGGAAAGCCGTTACGGTCAGTTCCTCTCTCTCAAAGCTGGTGTTGCTTTCCCATTACCGATGAATTGTTGGCCCAGGATGTGGTTCTCTTTACTTTCTGCCACCCCCTCTCCCCAGCTGCTCTGAGCCCTTGCAGGGGAGAGCAGTGCCTAGGAGGGATGTGATGGCTCTGGGCAGCAGAGAGGGTGGGGGATCTGATATTTCCTCCTTACTCCATTATATTTGCCTTCCTTATTCTGATGTAATGGTCCCAGAGACCAGAAGCCCTCGCCCACCCGACATGTGCAGTATGTCCATGGCAGCACTCTGCCAGGGCAGGGAAGGATGGTTTCTGAACAAGAGAAGCTGGAAGAAAGGATGGGGGAAATGGCTTGGGCAGGACATGCAGGTGGAGGGAAGGGCTGGGTCACCTACAGACAGCAGGACCCGGCAATGTGCGCTTGCAGCACAGAGGCCAATAACCATGTCCTGGGCTGCATCAAGAGCAGTGTGGGCAGCAGGTTGAGGGAGGGGATTCTCCCCCTTTACTCCGCTCTCGTAAGGCCCCACCTGAAGTGCTGCGTCCAGTTCTGGGGCCCCCATCACAAGAGAGACCTGGACCAGTTAGAACGAGTCCAGAGGAGGCCATGAGGATGATCCAAGGGCTGGAGCAGCTCTGCTGTGAGGACAGGCTGAGAGAGTTGGGGCTGTTCAGCCTGGAGAAGAGAAGGCTCCAGGGAGATCTTCTAGCGGCCTCCCAGTACCTGAAGGGGCTCCAGGAAGGCTGGGGAGGGACTTTTGACAAGGGCAGGGAGTGACAGAACAAGGGGTGATGGCTTTAAACTGGAAAAGGGGAGATTTAGATGAGATATTAGGAAGAAATTCTTTCCTGTGAGGGTGGTGAGACACTGGCCCAGGTTGCCCAGAGAAGCTGTGGATGCCCCCTCCCTGGAAGTGTTGAAGGGCAGGCTGGATGAGGCTTTGAGCAACCTGGTCTAGTGGAAGGTGTCCCTGCTGCTGGCAGGGGGGTTGGAACTGGATGATCTTTTAGGTCCCTTCCAACCCAAACCATTCTATGATTCTATGACCCGAGACCCTCCTGCAGATACCAGGACACACTGCTCTTTGCATCCAAAACTGCTGGCATCCTTTGGTGTCTCATCTCATACATTTAGCATTGCAATCCAGCTGTGGGATCAAGAGGTTGTGTGTCATTAGAGACCAGATTGTTGCTTACCAGGGCAACCGCTATGTTTGGTAAAATATCGTGGCATGAAAATCAAAGATGGATCAAAAAATTGATAAAAAATGGATCTGGAAGGCCAGATACTCGCAGGTATTAATTGCCTTTCCTATGTGAAGACCTGGCTCTGCAAAGTGCTGGAATATGCAAAGGTTTCTCCATAAATGGTCTCTCTACTTATTAGTTGCATGTTGATTTCAGGTTTCGAGGAGTGCACCATGCTTTTATGAAGATTCTGTCCGAAGGAGGAATACGGGGGCTCTGGGCTGGATGGGTGCCAAATGTCCAGAGAGCTGCTCTGGTGAACATGGGAGGTAAATTTCGGAACTTGGTTTGCAGCGCTTAAGGCCACATCTAAGCTTTAAGGAGAGCTCAGCTGCTCCCCTGATCTTCATCTCTTGGTTATGGACAGTGGGGACCTGTTTGAAGTGCACTGCAGGTGACCTCTGCCTTGAGAGTTTCGTTCCTGTGGAAATTGAGTTGGTTAAAAATAACAGTTTGTGTCTGAGCCTGAGGGATGGTGAGATGGGAGTTGAGGGGCTCCCACAGCCAGAAAAGCAAGGACCACACCAGCCATGACTCAGCTCTCTGGTGCCCAAGCAAGGTGAGTAGGGCAGAGCCAGAGAAGGCAACAGGATTGCACTGAGAACCAGATCGTGAGGAAAGCACATGGTGATGAGGCAGGTCTGAGGCCAAGCCAGGAGGCTGAGCCAGGATCAGGTCTGGTGAGGGTCACCAGGGTCAGACCCTGGTGATCACCTGGTGATCACCTGGTGATCACCAGACTCAGTGATCACCAGCAGGTCCATAGTGGTAAGAGAGGTCCAAGGTCAAGCTAGGGAGACAGTCCATGGGCCAGTGTCCAGATCAACAAGGTCCACAGCCCAGGCATGGTGTGACAGAGCTGCAGACAGGTACACCTACAGTGTACTTCAGGCAGGGACTGAGGGTTTGACTTCCTTCTTTGCTCTCCTTCCTGAGGTTCTCTTTATGAAGTTAGGAGGGAGATGTCTTTGGAACCAACAGACATCATCTGTGGGTGCCCACCATAAATACTTGCTCTGTGCTTGGTGGCACATACTATAGCATTGCCTTGGCCATTTTTTGTTTGGCCTGCTTAAATTTCTTTGTCATGATGGCTACTGATTTCTATGTCATTCAGCACAGGGATATGTTGGCAGCATGATCAAAACATATCTTTGAAGACAGAAAATCAGAGGTAGTGTAAGCTTACATCTTCTTAAGCAGCAGTAAAGGAATCACAGAAGAATCACAGAATGGTGGGGGTTGGAAGGGACCTTAGGAGATCATCTAGTCCAACCCCCCTGCCAAAGCAGGTTCCCTAC